TTGATTTTGACCTCCCTTTGTTCAGGGACACATTTTTCAATTTCTGTTTGTCACATGTCTGTGAAACTTAATTCAGTTTATTTACTAGTCTTAGTTGATGAATCTTTCATACTAATATTTACACGTGTTGAGTTTGCTGAAAATAAAAGCAGTTGAAAGTTATACATATATATACACACTACCAGGCAAAAGTTTTAGAACAGACCAATTTTTCTAGTTTGAATTGAAATATAAGAAATTCAAATCCAGTGAAAAACCTTAAATGGTTAAAAAGTTAAAATCGTTTACATTGTCACCAAAACAGACAATGTCAGATATAGAAAAATAACAATTATATGGTTTGTATGTGTACGGTGCCTTTCTAGTCTTTGCGACCACTCACACTTTATACTACGTCACATTCACTTATTCACACACTGGCAGCAGAGGCTAAGGTGCCAACTGCACATCAGAAAAGAAATAACATTCATACAAAGATGGCAACGCCTCCAGGATAAGTGTCTTGCCCAAGGAAACTTCGACACACAGGCTGGAGGAGCCAGGGATCATACTGCCGACCCTCCTGTTAGCGGACGACCGCTCTACCTCCTGAGCCACACCTGCCCGTTAGGGAGGTTTGTACATTAATTCACTGTGGGATCAACCAATGACCAATTTTCCTCCCTTCCTTCATTAATTGCCTTTTTAGTTACAATATTGTACAAATAAAGCTTCTTTTATTAACGCAGGCTGTTCCAACTTGTTTACAAACTGGAAAAGCTGTAGAAATTCGTTTTTGCATTAACTTTCAAGGCTTCATAGGGGCTTTTGACCGGTAGAGTGTGTGTGTATGTATGTCTATATAGCTTGTATATACTTTAATATGTGTATTGTGAAAAGGGGTCTCTCATAGTGACAAACCTACAGAGAATTATCACCCTAATCTGCTGTTCTCTCTATGAAGTGTTTTAGCATTTTTCAGCTCATTGTTTTGGTTTTCTTTTCTGTTTTGGTTCACTCACCCATCTCATCAACTATTTACATCATGAAAAGCTCTGGTAAATTAATTGAACTCTGCTAATCAGCATCAAACAGTACACAGACAAAGTTAGCAACTCAAGCTGGTGAACACCAAAAAACGCCAAAAACTGAGGGACAAGGAAAGTGAATATGGGACTTTCACAACTCCAAATGCATGATTATGCGGTTCCATGTTGATTGCCACACATTGACCCCCCAAAAAGGGGTGGGGATCTATAAGATGCTCTAAAGATGCGGCATATTATGCCACATCAAGATTCTGAACATTGTGAAAAAAAAGGTGAATGTTTCAGCCATAAGACCATTTTAGCACAACTCACCGACCACGTCACTCTGCAGACTTAAGTGGGCTTTACTTTGTCCTTTTTGTCAGCATCTGACAGATTGGGAGAATGTTGACAGGCAGAAAGTGTTTCCCCTAGTTGGATGTTGTCAAGCCGTCTCTGAATGAATATATGCACACTGTGTACTGCTCTTTCAATAACTGCCTGACTAAATTTGTATGTCTGCGTCTGCATACAAAGCTGCTTTCACACACAGGCCCACAAATATGTAACGTGTAATTACGCTGCTAAGGTGTTTGCGACGTTTATTCAATGGTCTCCACATTTATGGTTGCATAGATGGTTTTGTGCAGTAATTGGCATCTTACACACAAGACTAGACAAGGGTATTGGTCACTTGTGATTGGCTCTAAAAAAAAGCCCTAGCTTGTTTTTAGGTAAGAGAATTGCAATCTTCTGAGTGCTTTACCTGAGAGTTTCGAGACACGGTAGCAGATTTCCAAAATCATACCTTATTCCTGAGCCAGTAAATTGCTGGAGCATGCATGGGGCAGATTAACTGACCTGGTATGATGCCAATGAACAATTTTAGAGACACACTTTAAAGCACACTGGGAAATGGGTCCACAGATGCAAAGCCAGCTTGACGGACGCAATATACAGGTTAGTGAAAATAAAGATGATTTGCAATCTGTATCTTCAAGTACTTCCAAATTTACCTTTCAGATAAACTGTCCTAATTTTTAGACTAATGAACCGTTTTAAAAGCCCACTGGGTCATCTTACAAATGCATTCTCACAAAGCTTAAAAACAAGCCTTTTTTTTGTAATTCATGAACATTTTGACGATATGAGGTATTTACTGGACAGTGACGAAGAAAAGCTTTCGCCCCTCTTCTTTTTTCACCCTCTCAGGAGGTTTCAAACAAAGCGCTGTGCTGAATATAAATCTTAGGGTAATGAGACATTATTATGTGCTCTACCATGATTGCATATGGATCTTGATGGGTGTAATCTGTAGTTAGAGAACTCAAGAAATTACACCACATCTCATCAATAGGGACAGAGTCAGAGGCGAATGCTTTGGATAGTGGAGAAAATAGGAATATAGGCGAAAAACCCTTGGGAAATACCTCTCTAAAATGAATAAATACACTGTTACATATTAGATTAAGATTATTAAAATTAATGAAAATATTGAAGTCAGCACATGAGAAGTCCGGACATTTGGGTTCAGCTTTACTATTGTAAAAGTTTCAGCCACAAATACGTATTACTATATAATATAACATATTATTTTGAAATTTGAACATCTGCAATTGCATGACAACGGAGCAAACTCTACTGAAGATACTGGTAACGTGGGAAAGAGACCCTAAATTGTCACTTTAAAGCTTCACCAGTCAAGTAACAATGGCTTAAAGTAAAGTAAATGTGTAATGTGAAAGTGGCTTGCCTGTAGTGACAAACTACAGAGATTATCACCAGACTCTGCTGTTCCCCTCAGCTCTACAGAGCATTTTAGCATCTCTCAGATCATTGTTTTGGTTTTACAACCCCTAACTTTATGGTTTGGGTTCACTCACATCACTTTAATCAACCTAATTTCTGTTGTTTTCAGCAGGAGAGGTCTGATAACCATATAATAATAATTTGAATGACAGAATTGCAAACAGACAAAAACAGTAAACTGATGAATTTGTTCTGTTTCCTTATTGTTTCATTCCTTGATTCACAGTCAGCGTTAGGTCAAGTTTACTGCTGTGAAGTCATTTGCTCTCTGAGAAACAGGTAAGTTTAATATCTTCTGTTTCAGTGAATTCATCAAAAAGGGTGATGAGCAAATTGTGCACGCTTATCCTCATTGAGCAGCATTTCTTGTGTACCAGGTCTGGCTGAGCATTGGAGAGGAGGCAGATATTTTGAAGTTTAATCAATAACAGTAGTAGTAGGATCAAATGAGTATTGCATCGCAGATGGGGAAGGGTTTCTGTCTGTGAAATCCACATTTTGCCGCTAGGGCAGAAAGCTTCTTTTATCCTGAAAAGCTGCTCAGAAATCAAAGTGGCTCTTTCTCTTGTTGATGCAATATGGCAATACGTGTTCAGGGGCTTCCACAGGAAACCAAATCCAGAAGGATAAATGAAACACATCAAAAGGAGACAGTAATCAGCCGGTGAAGCACACTTGAAAAACTTTGGCTTTGTGTGTAATCATTTGGGAAAACTCAACTCCTAATACCTTAGTCCTGTCTCATCACGAAACCATTAATTGAAGAATTTTACACCCCACGTCATTATGCAAAGGGAAGTAAAAATGCAAAAATTAATGTATTTTCTCGACCTCATCTACTGGGGGTTACATAACAAACACGTACTCCCCTCTTCTGGAACTCAAATAAAACATGTTTCAAGTGCCGGAGGAAGAGTAGCGCTTTGTATTTGTGTGCAAACTGACCTTTGGCCCTGCGTTACTAGGGTAAACACTGTAACTGTCTTTTTTCCTCCACTGGAGCTCTAATATGAGGAAAGATGCGGTTCACTCTTTATTCACTGCCAGTTCAAGGTTGACGTAGAACCTCAGTGAAGTTGGATCAAACATTTTACAAACAAACATGGTTATCTCACAAAGTCAAGCCTGTTCAATCCTGGCTTTGTCTCTCAAGCAACACCTGACAATGATGGGTCTCTAAGCAACGGGTGTTAGCGCGTGGAGGCAGGGAAAAGAAACAGCACCCACTTAATTGTGTGCTGGTTGAAAACTGTCTCCTATCTGTTTTGGAGAAGGGGGGGAGGTGGTTAGAGAGCAGTAGCTCGTGATTTCTGTCCACAGGGGTGTATTCTTTATTTAGAGCTAGATTTTCTTTTCATTTTGGACTCCCACTGATGCCACATTTTGTGTTGTTGTATGGACGAGTAGTAGAGTCATGTTGTAAGGCAGTGGGCAAATAGTGAATTGATACAATAGAGAAAATGCATATATGAGAAAGGTGCAAATTATGAGCCCAGAGCTGAAAGGAAATTACAAAATGACACTCTCCTCTTCTGTCAAACACTTCTAATTCTGTCAAAACATGCTAATGGAAAACAAGTAATTGTTATTTGAAAGTCTGCAAAATGCATCTCTACAATAGTGCTCATATATGTCCATGTTATTTAAGACATTGCAATTCTGTGCTGCTGGCAGGTTAACAATCACCAAGAAGGTTGCTGTTAAGTGTCCTTCTTACTTCCTGTCTCTTCAACATCTGATAGGACTCTGCATGTGTGCATTGCAGTGGTGGTTCTGGCAGGAGTTGCTAGGGAACATCTTATGGCAGCACGGATGGAAATTTAAACATTTTCAGGAAGATGTGCATGTGATATTGTGACATAGGCTACTTACTTTTAATTTTCCTACAAGTAACTTGTGAACTTAGAGAAAATGTAAAAAAAAATGTTTTTTATATATTTCTAAGATTAATAACGGCTGATGTTTTACTGGACACAACTTGAGGGGTTATTAGTGATGCATTTGACCTGAAATGTGCCAAAAATAACGAAATCAATATAAAGCGTTAAAGGTGTAGGCCTTTTTGTTAAATGCATTTCCTACCGACTGAGGTGCACATAGTTAGAGCCTTTCTGCTGGCTGGATACTGTCACATCTGTTGGCTCAGCCTCTGATGTCACTGACTGAGCAGTGCGGGCTTCTAGTGCGCAACTTCGGGGACGCAGCGGTGGCACAGACAGTGAATTTTCTGCTCGTCCACAACTACCCAGAAACCTTTTGTTTCTGCCATATTTCTAGTGTCCTGATTTTTTTTATTATTTTAATCTGTGGCTGAGCGTCCAATAAGAAAGTCCTTATATGTGTTGCTGTATTTGAATTAACTTTTCAGGAGCAGAAAACCAGGTACGGTGGTGTTACACTTGTGTAATGATGTCCTTGAGCGCGGGCTGTGACGCTCTATTTTCTTTTGGAGCCATAATCTTTACTTACAGACGAAATTTGCTGTTCCTGTTTTTTTTTTTTCTAGCAGTCGTCGGAATTTCAGCTGTCTTGACCGACAGCTATCCAAGTTTAACGGTCCGTTTACGCCCCGCAGCAGCCCGGACGGTGCAGGCAGCGTTCAGCACCATGGAAAGCAGCGTGGTGCACATTTACAAAGAGGACAGGTGTCCCACGGGACAACCGGGGGAGTGCATCCCAAACTTCACCTGGCAACCCGTCTTATCGGACATCTTCAACTACACACCCAACGGCACCTGGGACGCAGAACCCGAGCCCATGTCGCCCATCATCCCCATTATAGTCGCGGTGTACTCGGTGGTGTTTGTGGTGGGCTTGGCCGGCAATTGTTTGGTGATGTATGTCATCATTAGGTGAGTTTTCAGCTTTGCCATTCATTCAAATGGAATACCTGCATGTGGCTCATAAAGCAATAGGAAATTCAGTGCGTATTAATTTTTTAACAAGTCCATAGCAGTCAAATTGCTGTAGGCAGGTGTTTGCTCAGCTACTGTCATGAATGTAGGCTATTGAGTTTGGGATTACTTGCAAACCTCAGGGCCGTAGATGGGAATAATGCTTGATAAGATAGAAAGGGAACTCGTAAGCATAGCCTAATTACATTTATTTATCCCCTATATTTCTTGAGTATCATTGTTGGTGCCCCTATATTGTGTTTCCTGCGCATGTGCACTTGTTTAACGGTGTTTTTTATTGGAAAACTGGCATCCAGCATCCTGAGCTATTTTTTTTATTCAGCACTGACTGCAATTTAACAATGTTTGCAGTGATTGTAGGCTAATGTCAATATTTCCGTTCAAAGCTCATCTGTTCCATGTCGTGTAGGCTCTTATTCGGTTTAAAGCCTCATGAAGGTCTTTTCAGTGAAAGTGTGAGATCAGCCATAACAGAGTATATTTTAAAGCCGTGAATTAGGCAAGAGATGATACTATTTTCCTCCCATTGGTTCCATGTGTGTGTATATAGAGTATTTTGGCTGCTAAATCTGTTTATTCAAGAAAAGAGTTGAGCACCATGGTAAATAATCCTTATATCAAAGGGTGATTTCATTACCCTTGTTCCTCTCTAAAAGGATTTAAACAACAACAAAAAAAGTGACAAATGACAATCAAATCCATTCAAGCTGATCATGTGTCCTCCTTTTCCCCCCGCATTAGATACACCAAAATGAAAACAGCCACCAACATCTACATCTTTAACCTTGCTGTGGCTGATGCTCTGGTCACCACAACAATGCCCTTTCAGAGCGCCGACTACTTGCTCAGCTCCTGGCCATTTGGCAAGGTGGCGTGCAAAGTCTTCATCTCCATCGATTATTACAATATGTTCACCAGCATCTTCACTTTGACCATGATGAGCGTGGACCGCTACGTGGCCGTGTGCCACCCCATCAAGGCCCTGGATTTCCGCACACCCGTCAAGGCCAAGATCATCAATGTGATCATCTGGGTGCTGTCGTCCGCCGCTGGGATCCCTGCCATGATACTTGGCAGCACAAAGACAAATAACGGTACCTTGACCAAGCATACATTCGCACTCTTACTGCTCTGGTGTGACTCCAGCTTTGTTGTTTGACAGGGTTTTAGTCTTTCGGCTCATATTTGTCTGTTTTATTCCATCTATGTGTCTGCTTTGGAGAAAAAAGCTGCTGCTAAGAGACTCTTAAGGCAATTTCAAACTTGAAGCCTCGCTGCATTACAACATCCTTATCTTGAATTATCTCAATTGGCTGCGAGAAGCATCCTTCAAATTATATGAATAGAATGTTCTATAGGTTTGATAAGAGCCAGCTACTTGACTAGATGAAGCTATTACAGTCATAATCGGTCCTCCTAGGTTGAGAATAGACTTTGACAGATGTATTTTTTTCTTTCAGTGTAAGTCTAATAGATATGAATGTTCACAATGAGCCTTCATTCAACAAGCACTTTACCCAGAGCTATGAATTTGGTTCTGCCCTTTACCTCCGTGACAACCTTACTGCATCACATACAATTTCCAATGTAACTTATGTGGAGTAGGTTCAACACTTTGGTTCAGACCAGAGGATGAATGCTACCAACTTTGGTGACTCTTCCTCTAGCACCACTACGAGGTTGACTTTTATGGTTGTTTATCAATCTCGGAACCCATGGGCTATTGTCTGACAACTATTTAGCCTCTACGGGGAACGGCCAATGTTTCTGGGGCTTTTGAGTTGTCCTAATTAGTAAATGCTAACTCACCTACATGGTGAACATGGTAAACATTATACATATTAGTTAGCATTATCATTGTGAACACAGAAGCCTTCATTGTTTAGCCAACATCAGATATTTAGCTCAAAGCACAGACGGACAGCCTCACAGAGCTGCCAGCATGGATGTAGATGTTTTGTTGGTTTTCTCCTAAATTAAATATGAATTTCTGTGTTAACAGGGACTACTGAGTGCGCCCTACAGTTCCCGGAACCCTACATGTACTGGGACACCCTGATGAAGATCTGTGTCTTTATCTTTGGCTTTGTGGCACCTGTCATCATCATCACAGTTTGCTACACACTGATGGTCATGCGGCTGAAGAGCGTGCGCCTGCTGTCGGGCTCACGCGAGAAGGACCGCAACCTCCGCCGGATCACTCGTCTGGTGCTGGTGGTGGTCGCCGTCTTTGTGGTGTGCTGGACGCCCATCCACATCTTTATCTTAGTCAAGGCTCTGTCAGCCAACGTGCCCGAGACCACTGCCGTCATGGCTGCTTACTTCTTCTGTGTGGCGCTGGGCTACACCAACAGCAGCCTCAACCCTATCCTCTATGCCTTCCTGGATGAGAACTTCAAGAGGTGCTTCAGGGACTTTTGCTGCCCCGGTGCAAAAGGACACGGAGACTGTCAGGGGGTGAGCCGGGTGAGGAGCACACTGCGGGACCACTCGTGTCCCACAGAGGCCCGGGGAGATATGAGGCAAGCCAGGCCCGTATGACTAGCCATGGACATGTCCTCCATGCCTTATCAGGGCTGGGAGGACTCCAATGACCTGGGATTGACTCAAATCACAACTGCAATCTGAGGGAGAGGCTAAAGAGAGGGATAGTTGTTACTTAGTTATCCATAATGTTGGTCAGAGAATCGTAAAAAAACAAAAAACAAACAAAAAAAAAGTTCACTTCACACGTTTTTCTTATTGTCAGCGAATCCCATGGAAATACCAAAACCAGAAGAATTGATCCAACTAACTGGTATTTCCTGTGTAGCAAAAACCTGATAAATGCCTTCACCTCACTGTCCATAAACTATTCAACCAGCCCCTGGATGACATTATGATGAACATATACACTGTATTTTAGTTTGAGTTAATCCCACATACACCATAACCTGGAAATGCTCACTGTACCATCAATGTGTATCAATTGGCCGCTGAAAGTAGATCCTAACAAGTACACAATTTACTTTTGTTAGAGTAATATTTGTGAAAATCTACAGTGCTGCTGTATGAAAATTACTTAAAATTAAATAAAAATGAAACAATATATTACACGTTTTTAGTGACAATGAATGGCTATCAGCTTGAGGCTGACAGGGTAGAGAAGTCAGAAAGTAGTGAGAGACAGACAAACATATTGTTGTCCTTTCTGTGGGATTTGTTGACATTAAGACAAATATAGAATGACAGACCTATACATTAAAATTAAGTATAGATTAAAAGCCTATGAGACAGTTATTGACTGGAAGTGCAAAGATGCCTCTGGGATCACAGCCCAGCTACATGCTAAATCACTGCATAGTATTTCAGAATGTATAAAATTTCTTCTTAGGATATTGAGGCTAGTTGTGTTAAAAAGCTGAAATGTAACTCAAAGAAAGTACTTCTTTTTTTACATTATTTCTCACACTGTTGATATATCAACAATGAGAAGTTGATGAGAGATTCCCATACAAGACAAAGTATTTTATTATGTAGATTATTGACTCTTTGTTTACCTACCTTATCAACTGTCCTAAATGCTTTCACATAAAATACATTAATATAGTTCTCACATGCATAGAAATATCAACTGGTATTTTGTGCACAGAATGAAAACAAGTATGTGTCCCTGATTATTTTGGGAACAAACTGCATTACAAACATTGTTTGAAACTGTGTTTAGTGTGAATTGTAGTTTGGTGCTTTGCTGTATCGTAAATTTTGTGAAAAGTCACTTTGGAAGTAAACCCATGTAGAATATTTAATACCTCTCAGGGATCATCCTGTGTAATTCACCACAAGAAGACACTGAATGAAAGTGTTTTCTCCTTGACAAAATGGTTGTATTTGACTTCAGTGTCAAAACAGCGGCTACTGTTCTAGCCTAACTTTGTTCTTTAAGACACACACCTCCACACCTTGAAACATCTCCAGCTGTGATCATCGAGGAGATGTTGAATATTGTACATAGTTCTGTCAACCTGGCATGTTCTCACCTTGTCTGAAATACTAGTACGTGTTTAAACTGGGCAGAGGGCTCCAAGGCAACAGCCGACATGACAATAACATATTGTATCTACAACAGGGCTTTTGGGGTTTTTTGCAATTTGATGTTTATACAGTAAACCTCTGCTCAACATGTTATCCTTTCAGCTTGATAACTATGATGTTTTGAGTTGAGTTTTTTCCTTTGCAAAAAAAATCATGTGACTAGCTTTATAGGAGTCACCAGATCAACCAGAATTATTCAAATTAAAGGCTTGTGAGGGTATTTCGTAATGTAGAGCTAATGATTAATATATATCTGTCAAAATCTGATTTTGATACAGCAGTTATAGCAGAAAGTGTGTTTTGTGCCTTGTTTTGTGTGCCTTATCTTGGGTCTCTGAACTTAGCTATTCTCGTTAATCAAAAGATTAGCAATTAGTCATTTTTTGTGATTATCTTCTTTTTTTTTCCTTTAAGAGTATGAAACTATATTCTGGTATTAGCTTACTGCTTAAAGCTATTGTAGCATTATCTCTAAGGAAGCATTATCTCTAAGTCCCACCGTTAGCTTGGTTACAATATGTGTTACTTAATTGTTCCTAATACTGTGACTTATTCGATAGACACGGTTGTATTCAAATGATAGGCCGAATTCAGTCCAGGTTTGAGCATCATATGTATAAAGTGCTGCTGCATTGTAAATTCATTGTATCTGTTGAATATTTTGCTGTATCTTTCAGCTTTGAATGTCAAAACATGCTTCACACATGCACAACTAAGTCACAATAAAGGTGTAAAATGTGAGATTGCTTGGTTTTAAGAGAACAGCAGGTAAAAAGGGTTATGATTCTGTCCTTAATTATATCTAAGTGGGTTCAATGAATAAAAATATGAAATAACATTACAAAACAGCCATGAGATCATAACCCACCTCCCCAATGATACATTTTTCCCCCAATCCTGTATTAACTCTATTCAAGCCAGACACAAAGTTAGTGTTTCCATGGTGAGCACGCACTGACTGAAAAGCAGAGTTTCAAGGCTTGTTGTACTAATTATGAGGCATATTGTGTTGTTGGCCTTGCACAGGAATTTGCAATGACTGCAAATTCAGCTGCTGTGTGAGGAGTTTAAAGATATGTTTCTGCTACTGTGCCTCACTAGTTTTGGATTTAACAATTTTATTGCACAACTTGCCATATAGAGGGCCAGTACCACATTTGTTGAGAAGTTCTGCACGCAGTTTAAAATCGAATAAATCAAATGAGCAGTTATCCACACTATCACGCTATAAGATTAAGTACTTCTGAATAGTTTCTGCTACACCCAAATGGCAGAAAAAATCAAAGTTATTGCTAGTTAAACAGTTAAACAGTTACTGTTAGACTTGGAAGACAATGACAAATCATGTCTTTTGTATTTTAGTTTGGAGGACTTGTTTAGTAGGAGTAGGTTTAGTAGGTCGCTAATGCAGTGAGAAACAGGTGATCCCTCACAGGCCTCCAAACTGCAACCACTACCAATTGTGAACACATAACCAATGGAGAATTGGACTCCGGAGTCAATGATGCAATTTTAGACAATGATTTAATTTAAATTTTTATCTTTTATTAAAAAGAGTTTTTTTTTTCCTACCGTTGGCATTTGTCGAAGTCTTGAGAAAGATGCAGCAGTCTATACAGTAGAGCAGCTGACAGGCCTAATGGTGCACGTGGATTTTCAGAGGTTTGAGAGGTAGTCCTTGTGTGCATTGATTGAAGCTATCAGCCATAATGACCAAAATTACTGGATTTTTCCCCCTAGTCTCTGTCTCTCATGTTGGGCATTGGTAAGCCATTACATGAAGCCAGGTTCAGTAACAGGCTTTTGTGTCTAATAAGGCTCTAATAGGCTTCATTGTTCAAAGGAAAACTGTCACTCATCACTTGCTGCATAGAAGCACATACAGACAACAGTGGTGGGGTGAAAATGTAACATGAATATGCTATGCATTATGTGTATTAGTAATGTGTCCTAATAAGTGTATCAATATTAACTGGTACTTAATACGTACAACTTTTTAGTGACACACCCATTATAATGGGTTTGTGAGTAGTAACTGATGGCATTATTCATGTTTAATAAATTGTTTGGATCTGTTAAAAGACATTAATAAGAACAAGTTTGGAGTTGCCAGGTTGTGAAAAATCTCTTTGGCTGGTGTTGATACTTTTCCATCTGGCAATCATGAAGCAAATGTGTTTTTCACTTTCTGATAAGCCATCATGTCTGCAGTTAATAAGATATTAATAAATAGATTTTGGTCCAGATTCTCTGCAGACGTTTCCCTGAAGGTAAGTGGTCTGAACGGTCATCCTGATGAATTAAAAAGATAAAAGAGACAAAGCACGTGTCATGCAGGAGGTGGATAAACGCCAGCCAGCCTGCCAACCCAAAAGTAGTATTTATTTATTCTCATCAATGGCACAGATCAGGGCCTTAGCCAGGAGTTTAGAAATACCAAGCTCATATTTTATTCCTCCAAGTGTAACCACACCTAACCCCCCCACCCCACCCCCCAAAAATTTAAATTTTTTTATTTATTTAATTAATTCATTTATTGTGCATTTATTTTAGTTTTGTACAGTTTTTTTCGAGTGCTATTTTCCACGCTACAGAGATGTGAATTTTGTTTGTTGTTTATTAGCTTGCAGCACACAAATACAATCCCAGACACAATACTAAGGAAAACACCTAAGTCATCAGTGGCATCTATGATCCTGTTTATAACTGATCTGTAAAGCATTAGGTTTATTAACCCTGGGTTAAAGACATGAACTACAACTCATAAATGGTGCCTTATTATAAATTGGTACCTATTAATATGCATCTGTGGAGAGTTATATTGCACGTTGAAAATTATACTTTATCATTAGTCAGTATTAATCTGCATGTAAGGAGTCAGGAAAGTCAAAAACATGATTATAAGTCCTATGTAATGCCATCATATCTGCACTGTGGAGGTGTATAACAAAGGCTGGAGATGATCAGGACAATAGGGTTTCACTGAAGCTGCAGTCTTTTTTATCGCCACACGGGGCATGCGCGTGTGAAACCCAAACCCCTCATTGGTCGCGTGTGAAACCCAAACCACTCATTGGTCACAACTGTTTACGACAGCCAATGGGAACCTTTTGCGTCCGAACCGTTGCTTCCGGGTGTCTTCTAGGAAGAAATCCTTTTTGCATTTGATGGGTATTTTTTGTATTTTCTAAGGAAAGCTAAACGCTACGAGCCCATAACACGTTTAGAAAATGAACAGAATATTCGGACGCGGAAAGCCGAAAGCGCCTCCTCCTAATCTGTCGGACTGTATCGGCAGTGTGAGTACTTTCAGGCTGAGATGTATTGTTGTTTATGTCTGGTTATGTGACATAACGGTACCGTTACAAGGCTAGCATGGTCTCAAAAGGGCAGTCAAACCAGCAAACCGTGCTAGCTAGCTAACAATTTACAGTTATCAAGCACTTTTAAATCCTAACAACACGCATACCGCCTCTGGTTTTTCTTTCCTCCTGACTTAAAGTGCGAAAAAGAGATGTATGTGTCAACCACAACCGTCAGTTCTCTGATAGGGGTTTAATGCCCCTCCAGCTATCTTTCCTTTTGTTAATACTCATACAGCACACACAGGAAGGGCATTTGAGCACTTTGAGGCTGGAAACCATTAATGTTGCCTCTAATTGATCTCCTCCTCACTCAGGTGGATGCCAGGTCTGAGTCCATAGAAAAGAAGATTGGCAGGCTAGATGCTGAACTTGTGAAGTACAAGGATCAGATGAAAAAGATGAGAGATGGGCCCTCGAAGGTAACACACAACACGTCAACCGTCGGGATGATGATGGTTACAAGTTTGATTTGCAAAAAGTTTTTTTATTCCTTTTTGTAAATGCAGAACATGGTGAAACAGAAGGCGATGAGAGTCCTGAAGCAAAAGAGAATGTGAGTCCTACACTGTATAAGTTTTTAACAGAGATGCAGAATATGAGTCTGACATGGCATGGCTGACGCTATTGACCAATTTTAGCTTATCACAGGTATATATAATAATATAAAAAAGCACTGTATCAAGACATTCCTGCATAGAAATGCCAGATCTGTTAATGGTGTAGTTATTTAGAAACTGTGACGCCATTACATAGATTGTCAGTAAAAGAGAACTTAGATTTCAATTGTAAAATGTCACACTTGATTAACAATTAAATATTGGCAGATAAATCATATTTTTAACAGTAAAATATAAACCCATGTCAGCCTCAACAATCCAGTATTTGTATGGCTTTAATTAGAACTGGGCTTTTATTATGTGATTATTTGCACAATGCAAGTGTTTTGAAACCAACAGTATTTTTGTTTTGTCACAGGTATGAAGGTCAAAGAGAGCAGCTGGCTCAGCAGTCTTTTAACATGGAGCAGGCAAATTACACAATCCAGACATTAAAGGACACCAAAACAACAGTAAGAACCACACGACTTGCTAAGAACAGTGTGGGTTAGTTTTAGGTGGTCAATCTTCTAGTCATGCTAAACATGTATGACTACATTCTTGTATATATTTATATATCTAAGAAGAGATTTTTTTGTGAATTAATGTTTTGATTTGCTCTGCCATTTAATCAACAAGCAAAACAAATTAATACCTAGATGCAGCTGAGACTGAGTCAAGTCTGTAAATCTGAATGTAATACAGCTCTCCAGACTCAGATCTGATCCCTATCGGCATGCATCTTTACCAGCAAAGACACAATTTTTGCAAGACAGATTATTTCGCCAGTCGTTTTTCCAAGTGATTAAATATACCATGTGCAATTTATTTTCTGTTCCCAGGTGGAGGCCATGAAGATTGGTGCAAAGGAAATGAAAAGGGCTTACAAGGACGTCAAACTTGATCAGATTGACGTATGTTTTTATAAACCACTACACTACATGTCAAGATATGCACAGCAGCGAGTGGGGATTCTGCCCAGATAATGTTAAAATGTATTATTTTGCCCTTCTCGTCCCACTCGTGTAAATAATTTATTATTTTTATTATGTATTTTTTCTTTAATTCCAATTTATGAATAACACAAAGCACATTCTTGCATATATGCTTAAATGTGGCTTGATGAGCAAATGTACCAACTTCATTTACAGTGTCCTGCACCCTTAAACGATTATTTTCTTCTTCTTCATACCCGAAGTAAGAAAAACTGGTTAATTTGCATTGTACATGACAGTCTAGTGTGGATCGTAAGTTAAATGTAATATTGTAGTTTTATATCAGATACCGGATATCGAACATTAAACGCGATCATTTGTATTTGAATTTTCAGGATTTACAAGACCAGCTGGAGGACATGATGGAGGACGCCAACGAGGTACAAGAGGCCCTGAGCCGCAGCTACGGCACTCCAGAGATAGATGAGGATGATCTTGAAGCAGGTATACCTGACCATCTGTGACATATTTCATTTACATTTATTTTCTGAGCAGATACCTTAATCTGTACAACAACATTTAAAGAAGTTTTAAGAAGCAAATTTAGAGCTCTCACCACGGCTGTAAAATTACTTACACACCTACTCATATGTTTCTTGAATTTCCCAGGATAGCTCAAAGATATTCTTCCTTCCTGTGAACCTGCTGTGGCTTTTAATCGGTCTGGTGATAAACTTTATTCACCAGTAATTGATTAGCACTGAACCAAATACCTGGCAACACTGTCTCACATGATGGAATACATTATAGATACAACAGCTGTGTCT